CAAAGTTGGCATGAATCCTCGACTTACGAGATGCGCGATGGCATTACAAAGTTTTCAGTTCAAGATCGAGTACAAACCGGGAAAGTACTGCGATAACGAGGACGCACTATCAGGAGCCCCAATTGAAGGTCCGACATGCCATGATGAAGAATTCGACGAGATTCCGAACTTCGAGGACATTAAAAAGGAGTACGACATAAAAGAACCGGCAGTTGAAGTGTGGCAACTGTTCGTACAGATGGCCGAAGAGCGAGAGAAGCGAGTCAAAGATGATCCGGCTACGGCGAATGAGCCGGCTGAATCAATGATCAATGTAAACCGTGTACGAGCTCTAACTGAATGCCCGATTAAGCTGCTGAGATTTCTTAAAAAGAAGGATAACCGACATAAACCGTTACCTCGATGCAAAGTCATCACGGACTGGAATGATCTCAGCACCGCAACTGTTCGCATCGTTAACTTGCAAGGAGATGAGGAAGAAGAAGATGACTCGAACTCGCAGCTCCGAAATAAGCAGCTGAAAGATCCTACCTTGCAATGATTATTGATGAACTCGAACATTTAGCAGATGCCCAAACGAGATCGAAATATGAGGTTCATTACCAGTTGTGGAATGGAATCTTGTACCGAATAAAAGATAATAAAGGGAGGTTAGAAAGGTCGTACGTCGTACCACTGTCGATGAGACGAGCGATCATCCATGCGCTGCATGATGAGAAAGCAGCAGGTCATCTTGGATATGGCAATAAGACTGCGCTACTATTGGGACAGAATGAGTACGGACGTTAAGAATTACATACTCGCATGTCAGGGTTGTCAGTTCACCAAGACACCAAGGAAATGCCCACCTGGCAAGTTGCAGGAGATCAAAGTGGGACATCCTTTCTTTCGAGTATACGCCGACTTGAAAATACCTTTATTACCGACAAAGAAACGAGGATATAAGTACATAGCGGTATTCATCGACCAGCTGACGAATTATGTGATAGCAGTACCGATGAAGACGGCAACAGCGAAGGAGTTTGCTAAAGTCTTCGTGAAACATGTGATATTGGTACATGGAGCACCGCACATCCTACATACGGATCGCGGAAGGCACTGCAAAGCGGAAGTCCTATCAAAAGTCACCAACGCGTTTAAAATTAAACACACATTCGGAACGGCGTACCACCCAGAAGGCCAGGGCCAAGTTGAAAGACAGATGCAGATCATCGGAGATGGTCTTGCACAGTATATGAAGGCGGGAAACGAACGGAAATTTAACAAATACCTCCCGTACGTGGTCTCGGGAATGAACAGAGTGGTACATGCTACAACTGGCTACTCGGCATATTACATGCTACATGGAAGAGAGATGGCTATGCCGGAGGATGTAGTGACGAAAACGAACTTACCAGGTGATTATGGTACTCCAGACGAATGGGTGGAGACCATGAAAAAGAATCTGACATTCGCCGAGGAAGTTGCCAGATGCAATATAAAAGATGCATACGAGAACAACGCCGAGGTTTATAATAAGAAGAAATCGGAACCGAACTTCAAAATCGGCTACTTCGTACTCATCCGACTTCCCAAAGATACGAAGCAAGGAAAGAAGGAAGTTCAATCTGATTTTAAGAAAAAGTACGATAAAGTATGGAAAATCCTCAGCTTCCCACGACCAAATGAAGTCGAAGTTATCGAAGTGAACCCGGTCAAAGAAGCGGATTTGAAAGTCGTCTCCATCGACCGATTGAAACCATGGCACCCACCGCTAACGGATGAACCTGAGGACAGGGAGACAACAGAACCACGATTGGCGACGGAAATAGATGAGATGAATATTGAAGCAGAGCGCGCTTCTTTAAAACCACGCTCAATGCTACCTGAACTATCGGAAGACATAACGGAGACTAAGAAGAAGAAGCGAGGGAGATCGAAGAAACAAGACAAGGACTTTGAAACTGCAGTAACTATTAAGTTGAGCGAACAAGAGGGCAACTTAGCGGAAGCCGCTGAACTGGCAAACAATGGAGATGATGTTACCGTAGCAGACCGTACTTTGAAACAGTCTTTCAAACCACGCACTGCTACTAATATTGTTAATCAGCAGAAAGATGCTGAACTAGCAGACATAACGGAGACTAAGAAGAAGAAGCGAGGGAGATCGAAGAAACAAGACAAGGACTTTGAAACAGCAGTAACTATTAAGTTGAGCGAACAAGCGGGCAACTTAGCGGAAGCCGCTGAACTGGCAAACAATGGAGATGATGCCACCGTAGCAGACCGTACTTTGAAACAGTCTTTCAAACCACGCACTGCTACTAATATTGTTAATCAGCAGAAAGATGCTGAACTAGCAGATCGTGCTTCTTCAGAAGACATGGATACGCAGTCTTCTTTCAAACCACGCACTGCCATTGATCAGCAGAAGGGTGCTGACATGGTAGTTAATAACGATGAGGTAGCAGATCGTTTCAAACCACGCTCTGCTGCTACTGATAGGCAACAGCAGCTCGAAGCGGCTACAGCAACAGCTGCACAGTTGGCAAACGACATCGCTGCTGCGATCGAGCAAAGGAAAGCCAAAAAGACAAAGTCGAAACCCACTCCTACGGAATTTCTAACGCGACAAGGAGCTGATGAAGATGCCGCTGATACGGGACTCCTTGATCGGATAACTAAAGGGCGCAAAAACACAAAATAACAATTAAAAAGGGCGTTATGATGATATGAACAGGAGTTGGGAAGGTGTAAAAGTTAACCGATGTAAACTGGCTAACAGATATCGTTTCATTGTTATAGCAGGTAATAAAAAGTTAATGGAAAGACTGGAACGACAGAATTCAGAGAATTCCGACTCGGAAAGCATCGGAAATCCGTTAAAAGCATCGACGCCGATAAGAATGGAAGGCGATCGTAGCCAAGGCACTTACTACAGAAATGAGTCCACATCGTCTGCAGGAATGGCGCAGAACGAACCGGGACCGAGCGATCAACCGCCTTATGCGGCCGGCGTCCAGGCATGCTATCCGTACCAGGACCCTATGAGTTATCAGAGTACACAGAATTGGTTGACTTACGGCCATCCGGCCGGACCAACTCAATACCCGGTACAAAACGATCCATTTCAACTGTTTCCTGGAACACACATTCCACCGATGTATGGATCTGTGCAAATGCCGATGGGACCACCGCCGGTACCCAATTTTCCGAAGGGGCATGGTGGATTTGGCCGGATGTCATCCACACCTGTCCGACATGGGGGACTCGGCGGAATGTCAGCGTCGCCCATCCGACATCACGGATTCGGAAGCCCAATGTCAGTACCAGTTCGACATGGCGGGATAATCGGCGGATCGCCGCCAGGATCGGTGCGTGGCGGAAGGGCGCCAGCACCAGTTCCATCATCTTTCCCATCGTTGTTTCCTCAACGGAGTGAGACACCACCTATGAGGGCACATCATCCGTTTAACAGATTTGACAGACGAGCTCCGAACAAAAGAGGCAGAAGATCGCGACATGGAAATCGTAGCTCACCTCGACCACGAGGAATGTTGCCCCCATTAGGCCCACAGATGGAGACGATGACAATAAGTCCTCCAGGATTACCTTCCAGATACGTACCAAGATTGGCGGTGAACGTCAGTGAAGAAGATGATCGGCTCAACATGACTATAGGAGCGGAGGAAGAGCTCACCGCAGATGATCGGAGGGCTATTCACAACTTTAACCGTCTGTGCCGGAACTTCTACCGAATGCACGAAAGAGTGAATGACGAGCAGCTCCTCTATGGTTATATGATAGAGCAGATGGCCGTAACCGATTCGGGACACATAGTGCTTAAGGAACGGAAAGTGAAGGTTCAAGAAGCACGAAAAGATCTCGGAATTAGAGTTGCCACAATGAAGACATATCATCAGGCGCTGATAAACAGGCCGTGGCCGGAAATGATTGAACGGATTCTGAGATGGATCGAGAAGTTTTCCGAAGAGGTCGCACAGCCTGAGGCCATCGTAGCCGGTCCATCACAGATGCAACCTACGACGAGCGATGCACCTAAACCTGGTACATCAACTGCGAAGCCAGTTGAAGAGATGACAGATGCAGATTTAAAGGAACAGAAGAGACGAATCGACAAAGCTATTGAGCGACGAGCGAGATCACGAGAAAGTTCAACGGCAGATTCATCTCGCGGTAGCGTTAAACGGAACAGATCGCAGACGACAAGTCCTAAATCAACAGAAAAGGGACATCAGACTAAAAAGTCGACGGCGAGTAAGGAACCGCCGAAAGAAAAAGAGATGCCGGTACCAGTGAAGCCCACGGCGAGTAAAGAACCGCCGAAGGTGCAGGAAATGTCGGTTGTGCTAGCGTAGCCCAAGGCGAGTAAGGAACAGCCGAAGGCGCAAGAGACGTCGGTAGTTCCAGTGAAACCCTCGGTGAATAAGGAACCACCGAAGGAACAACAGATCGCAGTGACTCAGCCACTACCAACACCGGCAAGAACTCCGATGATCATACCCCAGGTTCGGGCATATACAGTGACTTATTCGAGATCAGAGGGACCGCCGAGCAAGGTTACTGCCCAGATTATCGACAAAGTTACGAACGAGGAGATTCCCTTATATCATCACACTACACCGACGGAAATCAGAAACCAGATCACCAAACAGTCGAGAGATGAGGTGCAGGGGGCGCTACTCAAGATTGCGCGCGAGGAAGATCGTGCAGACCCACGAATCCTAATTCAGACGCTAAGACAACTGATCACGCCAATAGCAGTGAAAGAGAAAGCATGGATTTGTATACGAGTGGGAACGCACGACGACCACTTCGCGTACATGTACGCAACCGATGGAGAGATGCTGGCAGTTGAACAAAATCGGCTGAAAGAGGGGATCGAGTCAGATGGTCAAAGGAAGCCGAAAGAGGCATATGATACGACTTACTTGTATCAGGAAATGACTTGTCGAGTTTTCAAATTGGGACTCCACTGTACGGTCGGATTGCCAATAGTGATGATTGTCGAGATCGTCGATCCTATATCGGGAGATCCCGTCCCATTTGCACCTTGGTTTACATCGAAAGAAGAGAGGGAATATGCTAATATGGAAAATGAAAAAGCACTGGCGAATCTGTACAATATGCTGCCTGAGGACAAGAAAAAAGATGTTCAAGCTAACAGAAACGGAATTCTGAATATCATGTGTCATCGAGCTGCCGACGATGGAGCCTATGTCAGGGTGATAGCTACATATACTGACGATGGCCATTTTCGTACGCGAGTCTACACACCGCATTACCAGTTGGTCTACGAGATGGAGACATACGGTAGCGGCCGAAATCCATGAAACTTATGTCAAATCCAAACAGGCAGAGGAGGAAGGTCATGCTGGTGAAGGTGAAGATGAAGAACAGATGGAAGCCGAAGATGCTCCATCAGGCGAAAATGCTCCCCAGGCGGAAGATGAACCCATCGATGAGAATAACCCCAGACGATCGATGCAACGGGCGATCGCGATCATGATGGGAGCAGATCACAAGGCATGTAATGACGTAAACTGCGATCGATGTCACCCACCTGCGGAATCTGAGACCGACGAAGAAAGAGGAGGAAGATGATGATGAGGACACGGTTCAAGAAGAATCGGAAGACGAGGATCCAGCGCCACGAACGTCCAAAGACGAATCTAAATCGAAATCGTCTAAAGAGGAATCGAAACCGAGGTCATCTAAAACTGACACAAAGTCAAAGAAATCGGAGAAATCAGACAAGGGGACTGATAAACCCGGAAAGACGGGAACGGAAAAGTCAAAAGGGAAAGAAGGAAAAAGGAAGGACCAATCCCCATCTGACGATGAAGAGAGTGAAACCGAGGATTCGGAGGATGACGATGTCGTGGAGATCGATGAGAGTCAGAGATCCTCGACTACTACACCGAAAAAGGGTGTTATACGATCAGCAACATCGCCGGAAGAAAAACCGAAACCACCAGCTATCGCGATAAAGAGAGCGATTAATATGGGACAGATTATGGCAGCGTCAACTCAGAAAGAACGTAGAGAGAAAGCGCAGAAGGAAAAAGGGAAACGTGAAGCATCTCGCGAGTCGACGGCATCAGAGTCAGGTCGTCCAAGTACATCGACGGTCGCTTCGAAGTCGAAGCCCAACATTCCGGTTCGGGCCACACGAAGTCAGACGGTAGAACTGAAGGTGGCACCTAACAGCTTGGAAGCGACTCTGGAAAAACCGAAACAGGCAGCGTTGGAAAAACAGAAGAAAAGTGCGAAGAAGAAGAGTACCAAGAAGAAGTCTAAGCCTGCGGCAGTCCGACGTATCGATGAAGTCGGATTAGCACAATATACCAGAAGACAGGGTAATAGCGACTTGGAATATTCTGAACCAGAAGATAATCAACCTTTTCCCGACTTCGAGGAATTAGGGGAGGACAACGATATCTTAACAGATATCTTAACAGAGGATGATCTGTTTGAGGCTGGGAAATTCGCCATGCGAACAATACGCACACGAGGCGATACCTCAGTGACGGTCCGGTTTTGACAGCGTGTTAAGGAATGGCTGAATAAACAGAACTGACGTCTAACCCCATCGAAGTTGGATACGATGATCGATTACATTTTGAATTCGGGTCAATTGATCAAGGAACACCTCGATTGGCGTTGCAAATCGAAGTTAATCAGGACTATAGGAATCGACAAAAAGTTATTTGAAAAGTCCGCTGATAAGAGACGACAGATCGAATCGGCCATTGCAGGCCTGCAGAGTCCTGTAGGTTCTACTCGACATCGTATTAGCCAATATATGAATGGATTATGGCAAGGCGGAATGGGTAGGATCGCGGAGATCGAAGCGGGCAATGAGACGATGCTAACACAGATGCTTCAAGAGGGTAAATTGCTCACCACTAACGCTTATGAAGAATCCCCGATTCGCTATACCATGCTGGGATTCATACCAGAGGAACTACATGACTACTGCAATTTCTCCGATAAAGGAGTGATGGAAAAACTCCCAATTCCTCAGCGAAATGATCCGGAAACTCCCATGCTGAATGTGATCTTACAGAAGGGAGATCAGAAACGAGCTGCCAGGGAAAAGATCAAGGCAGATAAGTTGAAGGAGTCGTTGACACCGAAAGGCATCGTGGAATTCGATTACGAATCGGATAACGAACCAGAACAAGATGCACCTTCAACGTCGGGACAAGCGGCTACAACGAGCCAAGCGGCTACCAGTCACATGGTGAGAAAACGAAGGCCGTAACTCCCATGGATAAGCTGACGGCACAAACCGAAGCGGAATTGGAAGAAATGCGCCGTCGTCGACAACAGGCATCGCTGTTGCCAACATCGAAGCAGGCAAAAACTAGCGGTGGCAAGTCGAAAGCCAGCGTAACTCCCCAAGAAGAAGGCAAAACTGCTGAAGAAGAATCGAAAGATGACGAGACGGACTCGGCTCCCACCCAGCGAAACGAACCGAAATCGACGAAGTCTTCGTCAAGCTCAATTCCGAAGCTCTTAATCGATGAAAAAGAGTCGACGTCAGAAGATCGCGACTATATGCTCGGATTACCATTGGATAATCAGAACCATGCGTGGTGCGAATTGAAGAGCATCTTGGCGAGGCAGCCATTTCAGAAGATGACTCACAAAGATCTCAGAGCAGTCATATGTGCCAACCGAGTTTCGAGATTACCCGGCGTGAGCTTCGACAGGATGACCAAGAGGGCCTACAAAGAAGGAAAGTTGGGCATTTGTTATTCAGATTCAACAAATGGTCATATTATCTGCCACAGCCAACGCTTCCTCCACGACTGAAGATGGAACTCAAGTTTTGGAAAATAGCCATTACCGACGCTGCGATGCCAAGACTTGGCGGATCGATGGGAGTCACAGGCGACAATCTATAAAACGTTTTTGCCGTGAACTATGAACTGGGGACTTATAACATTGAAAGTGATCGGGAAGTGATTAGATTAGCAGTTGAGAGTCTAATTGATGATAAACTGCTGGAGCTCAAGAACGGCCGCATTTTCTCAAAACCTGAGGAGCTTCCGGAAGATACTCCGGAAAAGGAGATCGTGGATACAGTAAAGACTCCGGCATCGCAAGAAGTTGCCTCAGAATCACAACAACCGGCACCGACTGAGCCTAAAACTGGCGAAACCGAAACGCAGTCGGCAGAAACCGGAGATAATGTGCCAGCAGCGACTGAAACAGCAGAGTCGGCTGACACATCAGTACATGAGTGAATGAGAGATGCGTGATGTGCGGTTAGGAAGGTTCACCGCACATTACAGACGAAACAGCATCATACCAGTTTAACGAAAGCGAAAAGTTGAAACAACCGAGAGGAAAAACGATGAAACAGATGGTTGAAATGACTTAGCGAATGTGCTAAACGAGATGAGAAGATGAGATAACCACATCAGTCAAACAGGCGAATGAGCTTAGAACTGACAACATGGAGAGGTCACCATGTTACAGTGTAAAAAATGTCATCATGAGCTAGGAAGGTCTCAGCTCAGTACGGGAATAGCCTAACATAGGCGTAAAAAGTTGATAAGAATGATCGTGAGATGGTTGTGAGATGATATTTTGACATGCCTTAACATTGCAGATTAAAACCGAAGATGGCGGAAAAAGGTCCGACCAAACCGAATACTCAAGCGGCGGCACCGGCGGTGATAAGTCAAGCAGCACCAGCAGCCGCGGGTAATCAATCTGGATCTGCGAATGGAAGAACTCAAGCAGCACCGGCATCTATACGATGTCAGGTAGAACCTGCGCCTCAGAAAAGTCAGGCAGCACCGGTAGCTACGAAAAACCAAGCGGCAACCGTGCCCGTGAAGAATCCAGCTGGACCTACGAACGTTCGAAGTCAGCCAGTGCCGGCACCCCCGCGATCTCAAGTTGCGGCCGCACCTGCTACAAGTCAGGCGACTTCATCAGTACCAGCAAAACGCCCAGTGGAACCGTGGATTGATCCGTTTACGGGCTATAATTCCAAATGTCCGGACTGTATCCGAAACAATAAGGTTGAAAGAGGGGATTACCCTTGTTGGTACTGCATTTTCAAAGAACCAAATCGAACTTTGGTGGCATACACTGAAGCCATCCGCGGAAACAAAGATGTTTTCCGAGCTATCACATCTGCGGCGGCATGGAAGACGGTCCGACCAAGAGAGAAGATGCTCATTGAAGATCGATATCGCCAAGCGATCAAGAACGGTGAGATCGGCTGGGACGCTACTTATGAACCTCCTCAAGACGATCTGTGCGATGCTTACCGCAAGAAGTTCGAAGCGGATGAGGCACGGATGATGGAAGAAAAGCGGCAGCGATATTTGGCTAATGAATTGACAAATAGCAGAAAACGTGCTGAACAACGTGCAGCCCAGGATTACCGAGAAAAGTCGGTGCAGGGCAAAGCTCCTATTCCTGTGGCCCAACTGAACGCAGACGAAGCGGAGGTTAGAGTGAAGGGCGTTCTTCTCCAGATCGACGAGTTAATTAAGGAACCGTCAAAGATTCGCGTAAATGTATTCGAACTCCTCCTACGGGAAAAGATGAGGATGGAAAGAGGCGAAGCGCTTAAACCCGGTACCAAGCTGCTCATCGAAAAGATGACTGAAAAAGTTCGGAAGACACATGAAATGGAACGAGATGTTATGAAAGCATTTCAAAGTTTTCGGCGCGATGAAGGGTTTCAACGATCTCGATCACCAGTTAGAAGGGAACATCAGAGATCACGAGAGTATTCACATGAACGAAATTATGACTCTCGAAACGAAAGGTCAAGAGAACGTTCCCGTGAAAGAACTCGTGGCTATCATAACGAAAGAGATGATAGATCACGCTCGCGCGATCACGATTACCATGGCGGTAGATCGTGGGTGCGACATGGAGACAAAGTAATCGAAACCAGTGCACATCGTCGCCATGAACCTGTTGACAGGCGACGAGATGAACCGCGTCGAGATGAAACGCGCCAAGATGAACTACGTCAACAGATACCGATGGGAGTTGGTTTCTGCCACCCAAAAGTCAGGGGGTTCACACCTGAACGACGAGAAGGAACATTAGCGGGACCTGCTCGGAGTCGCAGCCCATACGACAAGGGATGGCAGGAAGACATGAATTACTTCGCAGGTTTCCCGATCAACCATAAACGAACTTCGAGTGGGGAACGCGACGATACTCCGCCGAAACAACCGAAAGTAAAATCAGTGGTCCGCATGGTGGAACCATTGGTTGTAACGATGGATGATGACGAACCGAAGGAATTATCATCTGAAAGTATCGTTCACAAACGGAACGTGGTATTCGACCGCGATCTCGAACCATCGACATCGGCGCGACGTGAGCAGGAAGGCCCTCACGAATCGCAGAATTGTCGTCAGGAACCACAGAACAGATATCAACCGGAACATCAACAGGAACGACCAGAACGACGACGCGAAGATGGTCGCCAGAGAGATCACTCTCGGTTTGATAGTTCGCAACGCAGGTTGATCAGCAAAATGTATGATATGGATGACGTCGATTATTTGAGGTTAGAGATCGAATCGGAGCAGTCGGTGATGATACATACGCAGCTCCACAATCTTCGCGAATTTTTAAGGGACTCTAATTATAAAACGGATCTCAGAGAGAGCAACCTCGGTCGCCTGGAGATCACCACCGAATCCGCAATGGTGTGTTATACACCCATCAGACAATGTGGCTTACCGAGTCTACTAGAACTGAGCTTATTTGAAGTCCCATTGGATACAATCGACACAACGGGGTGGACACAATTCCGCTACCAGGAGATTAAGGAGCGCAGTATCTATGTGGCACAATTTGTGCTACGTAACGTGAATCCGGCATTCAAAGTACTTGCGGCACGAGCAGCCATTGGACTGACGGTTGACCCTACCGACTACAAATCGCGAGTTTTCGGTCAGAACATCTTTGTCGCGAGATTGGGCCATTTTCCCACACAGAATCAGCTGTTTTCGGACTTTACGAAGAGGAAAGTTCCGCCTGTGTACCGGGAAAAGGTTGCTAAGTTAGGAATGCCGTCGAGACATCAGGAGATCGCACGTAAAGCGAAAGACGGATTGGCGATCTGCAAAAAGCGATTCGATGATTGCAACCTTCACGAAACACACGAAGCACAGTACCAGGAGCGAATCAATCGAATCCGAGATACTATGGACACGCCGTACATCGAGCCGCAAGATCGAGTCCATGAGTATATCGAGGAGCACCTGGTATGGAAAGGATCGAAACAACCGACAACCGCTCATGTTCCGAATACACCGGGCAGACGAGCTGCTCGAAACCAGAACATCCGGAATCAGTATGAGGATGCCAGACAACGATTGGCGGAAGATCCTCAGAATCGGAACCTGCAACGGGAAGAGAACGATGCACGACATCGTTTGGACGCGATCAAACGTTCACGACTAGGGAAAGGTCGCGGTCCACGACACATCGTCCTACGAGTTCAAGCGGACGAGGACGTACCGGCTGGATCAGCTGCACCAGTTGATC